GCTGGGCTGGTGAAGCTCTTGGTGCCAGTGGGAGAGGAGACCCCAGTGGGACACACAGCCCTCAGGCTGTTCTGCTGCCATCCCTGTGTCCAGCTTGGTGGGAGGGAGGGTATAGATGTTGCTGCTGGTGGGACAGCGTGGGCAGCCCATAACCTCCATGTCCTCCTTTCTCCTCCCTGCTCTTCATGCACACCAGGAGCTCACGGTGCAGCCCTTGGTCCTACCTCAGCCTCACAAACAGCAATGTTTTCCCCACCTTGCAGACCTGCCAGGCTGGTTTTGGTCTGCTTAGACCCACCTAATCTCTGAGGTGTCTGGAGGGTCACGTTCCTACAGCGTTAAGCTCTTGTGCAGGAACAACCTGGTTGGGAGATGAGGGATGGTACAGAGTCCATGGTGGTTTGTGTCATCTGGATGATTAGGGTGAGATGGATCACACCAGCCTACATATTTCCTTGTACCTTTCCAAGAATAAATGTTCTCTCTTAGGCTCATATTTACTGTTGAATGTTATTTGACAGGGCAAATATTTACCTGCAATAATACTGCAAATCTCTCTCCTTCTCCCTGTGAATAATATTTCTCTGAATCGATGCTTGGCTGCAACTCCTGGGTCCTCAGAGATAATCACACAGAACACGACTCAGTGGAGAATTGGGGTCCCTGGACATTTGCCATGCTGCTGAGAACAGTTTCCCAGGTCCTTGGTCGTGTCGTGTCCTCTCTGATTAATACCAGTGTGCAGTGAAGAGACGGTGCTGGCTGGTTGTGGTGTGTTTTGTAAAGAAGGGCAGCACTTCCCTCCCAGATTGGGAAAGGCAGGAGAAAGCTCAAGGCTTAACGTGGTCAACACTTGTAGCTCCCCTCTGAGTCACCTGCATGGTGAGTTCTTGGTGTCCTTGAACCAACAGCTGTGGTTATGGCTTTAGCTGGATCCCAGCTGGTTCCTCAGGAGCTGCTCTGGGTTAAGGACATCCCTTAGTTTGAGACCAGCTGGGTGTGTGAGGCTGGTTGGCTACTGCACAGGGTGGGGGAATGGATCCAGAGCAGTCTCTCTTCCCTGTGCTTGCTGGGAATGTGTCCTGGGGATCAGGTCCCTGGTTGGGCAGGGTGGGTTTGTTACTGCAGGGCTGGCAGAGCTGGCAGGGCTTGGAGTGCCAGAGCCCTGGGCCAGGCTGCCCAGAGAGGCTGTGGAGTCTCCTTCTCTGGAGACATTCCAACCCCCCTGGCCACGTTCCTGTGTGATGTGCTCTGGGTGCCCCTGCTCTGGCAGGGGGGTTGGGCTGGGGGAGCTTTCCAGGTCCCTTCCAACCCCTGGGATTCTGTGATTCTGTGATTTCTCTGCAGGTCCAGAGGAGGCACAGAGTAGGAGGGACATACAAAGCAGCAGTGATGCTGAGGGTGGTCTTGAGCCTGTGGGCAGAGAATGTGTAGGGTTGCAGTGTCCACTGGAACATCTCGTGGTGCAGGGGCAGGGGACACTCAGGGCTTGTGGCCAACCCACAACGTGCTTTGTGTTCACAGCACAGACAAGATTCTGGCCATCATGAGGGGTCCAAAACTGAACCCAGAGTTTGAGAGGTGGCCTCACCAGTACCCAGCCCAGGGGAATGATTCCTGCCCCGGTCCTGCTGGCCACATTATGTCTGATACAAGCCAGGATGCTGGTGGCCTTCTTGGCCACCTGTGCACATGCTGGCTCAAATTCAGCCAGCTGTCAGTCAACACCCCCAGGTCCTTTTCCTCTGGGCAGCTTTCCAGCTGTTCTTCCCCTGGGCAGAGAATGTGTAGGGTTGCAGTGTCCACTGGAACATCTCGTGGTGCAGGGGCAGGGGACACTCAGGGCTTGTGGCCAACCCACAACGTGCTTTGTGTTCACAGCACAGACAAGATTCTGGCCATCATGAGGGGTCCAAAACTGAACCCAGAGTTTGAGAGGTGGCCTCACCAGTACCCAGCCCAGGGGAATGATTCCTGCCCCGGTCCTGCTGGCCACATTATGTCTGATACAAGCCAGGATGCTGGTGGCCTTCTTGGCCACCTGTGCACATGCTGGCTCAAATTCAGCCAGCTGTCAGTCAACACCCCCAGGTCCTTTTCCTCTGGGCAGCTTTCCAGCTGTTCTTCCCCAAGCCTGTAGCATGTCATGGGGTTGTTGTGAGATGTGTGGGGGCCCGAGGGCAAGGAGGGGGCGGAGAAGGAGCAGTGTCCCCTCTCAGAGGGTGCATGGCTCCATCCTGCTGCTCCATCCCTCTGCAGGCTTTGGTACTCCTGGCAGCTCCCACCTGCCCTGCAGGGTGTGCTGAGAGGGGCTTTGCGAGAAGAGGTTTGTTGTTTCAGCTGATTCCAGTGTTTTAATTTGAAGAGGAATAATGTGTAATCACAACCACTGTCATCTGTTTGACAGTGGAAAATCCTAGAGCTTCCGTGGTGTTTTGTGTTCCTCAATAGGAGCCCTTTGAGCAGAGTTGAGCTTCTCTGCACTCGCCTTTGGAGTCCTGGTGGGATGAATGGGCACCGACCAGCTCTCTAATCTAATTTGTAATGTATCCTTATAACGCATAATTGGCTGTTTAATTTAATTCAAATTAACATAAGAATAGAGGCATAAGAATGTGCAGCACAGCCCACGTGGTGGCAGAAAGGGCTGGTGGGTGTTGCTGGTTTGAGGTGCCAGTTTTTACGCCCCCAGTGTGAGACCCTTGGTGGGGATGGAGACGTCACCTTGGATGTGTCAGTGACAGCAAATCACCCCCCTTCCCCACCCTTCTATCATTCTCATCTCCCTTCTTTATCTCTCCAGCAGTCTAGTTAAAAGATACATAGAATAAAAGTGGCTGACTTGGGCAAATTGTTCTCAGTGACAGGGTGTAAGAGCTGGCGGGCGCCAGGCCTGGGGGTGTTGATTGGATATTGTCTAATCTGATTTTGATTGTGTACAGCTTTGATGGTAATTTTTGATATGTCTGCACAATGCTGTCTCTGCTCAGAAAGCTTTGTGATTGAAACAGGGCTTTTTGGGGTTGTTTTGTTGTGTTGTTCCCCCCCTCCCAAGCTGAACAGAGCAGAGCTGGGGGAGGAGGGACGGGGCTTTCGTGCTCCTTACAAAACCGCCTCAAAGCCCTTGGCTGAGCTGCTCTGCAGTAACACAAGGAGCTTGTAGTGTTGAAGAGAGCTTTAGGAAACTTTGAGTGGGTTTTGCATAACTTAGTGAAGCCACTTGCTTATATACCTGGTAGCGAAAGAAACCAGTTGGAGGAACATGTTTGCTGTGCCGTGATTTCTTGCGATCCCTTCCTGTAAAGCACGGAGTGAAATCCTCTTCCATAACTGGGAAAGCCCAAACAGAGACCTAACTATGGGATGTATTGAATGGGATCTGTCTGTCTGCTGTTGTGTACACCCCTCAGCCCCCTGCCTTCCCCCTGCCATACTGCTGCTAGCCAGAAGCTAGCTGGGAAAATGGCCAGGCTTGGGTTTCCCCTAAAAAATAGCAGTTGGCCCAGAGCTACTGTACCCCAGGCTTGGATTTCTTGCATCCTCATATTTCCCAGTGGGAATCTCAGGGAGGGTGGGATGTGCAGGACCAGCTCCTTTCTCTGTCTCTTCTCACAGCAGGATTAAGGGGATCTGGAGCAGGGCTGAGCAGGAGTGACCCCCTGCTCAGGCATCCCATGAAGAGACAGCTCTCCCAGGCAGTGCTGGAGCAATCCTGCTGGGAGCCCTCCCACCTATCCACAGATACCTCCTTGCTCCCCACTGGCTTCTCTATTCTGGTTAAATAGGGGGTTTATTTCATTTTATTAAGTGTTTTCTCCCTGCAGTCTGGGGTGATGAAGAGCATGGATCTGAGGGGGAGCTCTGGGGCAATGGATTAATAAAGCCTAGAGTGCTTAACTAGGTTTGCACACATCTGGGGTTTTGCTCTTAAATCAAGTATTAAGGCAAAATCCAACCATGAAACTAGGTGATCTGGGAAATTTAGCTTAAAATCCATGTGTATAATACTATGGCTAATCAGAATTTCATATGCTATAATCATATGTGAAACAGGAGATGTTTAGAATAAGCCACCTCTGCCAGAGACTTGTTACATTCTGCTTTGGCAATTAATCATTTTTGATAGATTCACACTCACATTATGAACCAAAAATGGTTTTGTTTGAAGTGAAAACAATTGCACAGGTGCTCTGACATTTTTTTTTATATGTATATAATGGAACATTAAGAAGTAAACGAGCCACCAGAAAACCTGGGGAGCACGAGAAGTACCAGCATCTCCATGTGATTGTGGTCACCTTGAGGGAGCACTGGCAGGGAGGTGAGGGAGGGCTTGTCCAAAGAATATTTGGATGAGGATATAAGGAAGGACAAATCTCTGTGTGTGGTAGAGTCATGCAGGCTTTTGTTGAAGGATTTAAAAAAATGTGAGGGCTGTGTTTCCAAATCCCTCTCTCTGGTTGTAGCTTCTGTGCTGGAGCTTGTGAGGAATCCACAGGAATTTTGTTCCCAAGTGCTAGTTATTTCTACGGAGCTAATTGTCATAAAACCTCTTGAAAAGACAAACTGGAGGTTACTGTAAGAGCTGAGCTGGGTTCCCAGAGAGGGATTGGGACTTAAACATGCAGCAGCTGGTTGGGACATGGCCGTGGGCTCTGTGAGCATCCCATGCCTGGCTGCAGTCCTGCTATGGAGGCTTCTGCTGGGGTTTTGGCAAATTAAGATGTGCCAGAGGAATGTGACATGGGAGAGGGGAGCAATGCAGATGCCCCAGGTGGATCTGAGGGGAGTGAGGACCCATGGTGTCCTTAAGGGATGGCCCAGCACTCCCACACTCACTACCCAGCTCCTACATAGTTACGACCTTGGTGTCCAGGGCTGCAGATGTCCCTTCCCTAATATTTCCACTGGAATATGCTTTTGTGTTTCTTACACAAATAATCACTTTGCTGAAGCAACAAGGCAGTGACTCATTATCAAATGCCTCTTTTCTGTTTCAGACATACAATGGTCAGAACGAGAGCAACGAAGACTATGAGATCCCTCCCATAACCCCTCCTAATCTGCCCGACCCTTCCCTCCTGCACTTGGTGGACCATGAAGCTGGATATCACTCCCTGTGCCACAGCCTCCCTCCAAACAGCCTGATCCCAGCCTACCCCTACCAGAACATGGACCTACCAGCCATCATGGTCTCCAACATGTTGAGTCAGGATGGGCATCTTCTCTCCAGCCAGTTACCCACGGTCAGTGACACCCTCTCTTACTCTCTGTTGTGAACACCACTGCATGGGGCAGGTTGTTGGTTCAGTTGAACGTAGAAGGATGTTAAAGATGAGAAAGCTGATTGATGACCTCATCCATGGGCACAAATCTGTTCAGGGCAGTGTCAGGAGGACAGAGCCAGGCTTTGTGCAGTGATGTCCAGTGACAGGACAAGGGGCAGTGGGTGCAAACTGGAGCCCAGGAGGTTCCATGGGAATCTCAGGAAGAACTTCTTTGCTGTGAGAGTGCCAGAGCCCTGGGCCAGGCTGCCCAGAGAGGCTGTGGAGTCTCCTTCTCTGGAGACATTCCAACCCCCCTGGCCACGTTCCTGTGTGATGTGCTCTGGGTGCCCCTGCTCTGGCAGGGGGGTTGGGCTGGGGGAGCTTTCCAGGTCCCTTCCAACCCCTGGGATTCTGTGATTCTATGAATACAAGGCTCTGGAGAGACCCCACTCCATGGACACGGAGTGATATTATGAGGGGTAATGGTTTTAAGCTGAAAGGGGATAGATTTAGGTGAGACATTGGGAAGAAATTCTTAATTATGAGGGTAGTGAGAGCCTGGCCCAGGTTGCCCAGGGAAGCTGTGGCTGCCCCATCCCTGGCAGTGTTGAAGGGCAGGTTGGATGGGGCTTGGAGCAACCTGGGCTGGTGGGAGGTGTCCCTGCCCACGCAGGGGGTTGGGAATAGATGAACTTGAAGGTCCCTTCCAACCCAGTCCAGTTGCGTTTGCCCTGGAGGTTGGGAAGAGCTGGTGGCACAGCCCTGCCTGGCTGCCCTGCTGCCCTCTGAGGTTGGGTTGTGGTGGCAGATGCTGCAGTCACCTGCCTGGCCATGCTCATGGTGGCAATTTTGTGTTTCAAGTTTGGTGTCTTCCTGAGCCTTATTACCTGCTGAGGAGCAGGGGAAGGTTGTTCTCCCCTGACTGTGTAACATCCTCACTGAACTGAACCAAGTGCGTGTGCTCCAACCCCACCTGAAGGTGACTAGCTGGAGCCCCTGGTCCATAGCCCCTCCACCCTGCTTCCTTTTTCCTGCTGGAAAAAGCCCCCATCCCTTTGTTCTGCTGCCAGGCTGGTCCTGGTGGCACCAGCAGGAGGAGCACGGATGCTTCATGAAGGGAAGCTGCCCTATTGATTTCAGGTGGAACAAGATCCTTCTGGCACTTCCAAACTCAAATTGCCTCTTGGCTCACGCCGTGGCAAGGGGATACCACATGAGGGTTCAAATGACTCTTCTGTCAGGATAAATAAGGCAGGGATAATGAAGTAAAGTGCAGCCCTGGGAAGAAACTTCAGGGCTAATTAGACCTTCCAGTGCTTCTGTATCAGGAGCAGCAAGAAAAGACTTGATTTTGACAGGGGTATTGAATTAATGCTGGTGCTGTTTAATAATATTTTCCTCTTTAGCAGATTGAACCCTGTTGTTAGTTTTCCACATTGTTGCTCTCTAAGAACTGTTGATTTTCATGGAAGGCATCAAGATCAAACAGAGTTAATTTTACTGAAACCAGCAGGCCTGCAAGTCTACCCCTCTGTGCTGGCTGGAGAGCATTTGGTGTTGATTGCTTCCATAGATAGGGGTCTGAAAGGTGGTGGTATTTAAATATTGAAATGGAATATTATCTCTTAGCCCAGGAAAATCCCAAGGCTTTCTGAAGTCTTGATGAATCTTCCACTTTCATTGTTAGTGTGTTGGAGAAAAATCCCATGTTCTGCCCGTTGATATTGAACACAGGCATATTTCTATGGAATTAAATATTGCTTAGGCCTCTGTGTTAGCTTGTAGGTTCTTAGGTGATTAAAACATTCATTTCTGAGACAAAAAGAGTCTATTTCAGATGAAATAGTTCCCCCTGCTTTAATTTAAAGCACAGCCCCTTTGCCTGACCCCTATTTTCATAACACGATCATTTTATCCTGTGTTGATTGTCTCATTTTTGAGAGGTGATATTGCACTTATAAATCACTTTCTAAAATACCTGAAGAAACAAGAGTAGTGGGATTTATTAAGCAGCTTCTGTGCGTCTGAAATAATTTATTTTGGAGTAGTCCTTGGGAAATGTTCTCTTTCTTACTTTATGGTACTGTTTTACAAATGCAGCATCGTGACAATAAATCATGACTGAGCCAGAGAAGATAAGAAAGGGGCTTAGTGGGCTGTAAACGTAGAATAGAGAGATTAAGATTTGTTTGCCCCTTACCACGAAAATAAAAAATCCAGTGAACCCTGAATTTTCCAGCCAATAGCAAATTGAAACTGTTTGGTTTGGAGCAGAAGCCCTTGGAGCTGTAATACATCTTTGGAGGTCCTAGCAGCAAGGGGAGTAGATCAGAGAGTGAACTGGTTTAGGTCAGAATCCTGCTTTCCACTCTTGTCAGATCCCTGTTTCTGTGCTGTTTGACTTCACAGCATCATAGAATCCCAGACTGGGTTGGGTTGGAAGGGACCTTGAAGATCATCTAGATCCAACCCCCTGCATGGGCAGGGACACCTCCCACCAGCCCAGGCTGCTCCAAGCCCCATCCAACCTGCCCTTCAACACTGCCAGGGATGGGGCAGCCACAGCTTCCCTGGGCAACCTGGGCCAGGCTCTCACCACCCTCACAGCAAAGAATTTCCTCCTCATGTCTCACCTCAATCTCCCCTCTTCCAGTTTCAATCCATCCCCCCTTGTCCTCTCCCTCCCTGCCCTTGTCCCAAGTCCCTCCCCAGCTTTCCTGGAGCCCCTTCAGGCACTGGAAGCTGCTCTAAGGTCTCCCTGGAGCCTTCTCTTCTCCAGGCTGAACACCCCAACTCTCCCAGCCTGTCCTCATAGCAGAGCTGCTCCAGCCCTTGGATCATCTCTGTGGCCTCCTCTGGACCTGATCCAACAGCTCCATGTCCTTCTTAAGACTTCTCCCACTGCAAGACAACATCTTCTGTCCCAGCATTTTTTTTGGGTGCTGGGATTGAGTGTCCCCTTACTCCAGCACCATCCCACACTGATGGCATTGAATCCATATCTCACATCCACCCCTGGCAGCAGTGATGGGAGCAAACTGGTCTAGTGGGAGGTGTCCCTGCCCATGCAGGGGGGTTGGATGTAGATGCTTGTTAAGGTCCCTTCCAACCCAAACTATTCTGTGATTCCATGACTCTATGGTCAGAGCAGGGGGCTGCAGACCTCTCATGGTGCCCCCCACAGCTGCCTGCACTCAGACATCACTGTGGGGCTCACCCAGACACAGCCCTGCCTGAAGTCAGGCCCCACCAGTGCAGGTTTGCAGTGAGAACACTCCAGGTGAAGAAAGGAGCTTGTTTGCTAACTCTTCCAAAAAAAAAGAAGAGGATTTCTGGCTGCAGGGGAGCACTGGGAAGCCAGCCTTGCCTGCAGGTTGCATGGGAGGTGTGTGGAGGTTTGGGCTGTGTTCCAGGACTGGTGTTGCTTGTGCAGATGCTGGAGCCTCTCCCCTTGCTGCTCTCTTTGCTGTGGTTCACACTGGTTTTATGCATCCGTGGCTGTTTCCTCCCTTGGCTGCCATGGCTTTGGATTTGAATACAGTGACAAATAACAGGCAAGTCAAGGTAAAATGTTTAGGTGTTGGTTAGATTTTCCTCTGGAAAAGGAGCTGGAGCCTTGTGATGGTTTTAAGGCATGTCCCTGCCCATGGAGGGGGGTTGGAACTGGGCGATCTTGAAGGTCCCTTCCAAATGAAACCATTCTGTGATTCTTTGTGAGTCTTTGTGATCCTCATGAAAAAATCTCCAGTTGCTGGAAATAACATGAGCCAGGACTGACTGAGAGCTATGGGAGCTGTGATTCCCTCTGCAAAGTATGAGGTGAAGTGAATAAGGAAAATAGCAGCACAGGTTGTGTGTCTCTTGTCCCAACATTATCCTTCAATGGAATTAAGCCTCCCAGTACCTCTGCAAGGGAGGAGGCTGCTGCTCCTGTTGTCCAGTTGAATCCCAGTCAGTGCAGAAATTCCCATGGCTGCATGAGAGCTGGAGGGTCAGGGTGGATTTGCTGTTCTGGATCCCACTTCTGGCTCCAGCCCATCCCTGGGGTGTCAGGAGCTGAAGCCCTCATTTAAGCAAGGACTGATGGGGAAAACCCAAAGCCACTGTCACCTCTGCCATTCCTTGTGCCTCCAGCATCATCACCCAGATCTTCCCCTACACCAGCAGCCTCTGCTGCTCCAGGGCACACTTCCCTCTGCCCCATGGACTAGCTCTACACTTCCACCACTGCTTTTTCTATCACTTTATTTCACTATTAGGCCCATGATTGTCCCAGAGCTGAGGTGTTCCTGGCCAGGCTGGGGGAATGACATGGGGCTCCACTGAGAAGCATCCATCCTCTCTGGTTTCCACCAGCAGATCTCAAGCAAGGTCCTTCCTGCAGGCAGGTTGCAAGGCCATCTCCCTGACCAGCTTTCTTGCTTCCACAGGTTTCTCTCCAGCTTCCATCCTTCCCAAAACCACTGCTCCATGTCCAACACAGGAGCTCCAGGTGGGAAGGGTGGCAGTTTGCTCTGGGTGCCAGGTGGTCAGGGTGCTGGGGGACGGGCAGCACAGCGGGACGTGCCTCTGCAGAGCCAACCAGTGCTCAAAGTTTTCCAGTAGAGGGTATAAGAAAGCAACCAGTGAGATGTGGACACAAAAGCCATGTAGGAATTCCAGTCTTTTCAGTCACTGGGAAGATACAATCCCAGCAGGCAATACAACTTCCATGGTGTTGGTAAATACTTTCAACACATAAATAGCTCAATAACTTGGTGTCACTGCCTGTTAAAATAAGCATTTTAAAGTAACCTCTATCCCAGTGCAGTGGAGGGACAGCAGTGCCCTTTAGAGAAGGTTCCTGCTCATCAGAAGAGCTGTAATGATTTATTCTTTATTTATAATTTATTATTATTAAAGCCAGAGTGAGAGCAGTGCCCAGGGAGTGCTCTGCCAGCTCCCCGATGGAGCCTGGCACCACGGAGCAGAAACTTCAC